TCCATTTCTCGGCGTAATGTGTTCTTTGGTCTTCCTCTTTTCTTTTGGCCTTCAGGACTCCATGTGATGGCTTGTCTTGTGACGCAGTTGGGTGCTTTCCTCAATGTGTGTACTATCCACTTCCAGCGCTTCTTCCTGATTTCTTCCTCCGCTGGGATCTGGTTTGTTCTCTCCCACAGTACGTTGTTGCTAATAGTGTCCGGCCAATGGATCTGAAGTATTTTGCGTAGACAATTGTTAATAAACACCTGTATTTTCTGGATGATGGCTTTCGTAGTTCTCCAGGTTTCTGCTCCATACAGTAGAACTGTCTTGACATTTGTATTGAAAATCCTGACCTTGGTGTTGGTTGACAGTTGCTTTGAGTTCCAGATGTTACTCAGTTGTAAATATGCTGCTCTTGCTTCACCGATCCGCGCCTTCACATCTGCATCAGATCCACCGTGTTCATCAATGATGCTGCCCAAATACGTAAAGGTTTTTACATCTTCCAAATCTTCTCCGTCAATTGTGATTGGATCGGTGCATTCTGTGTTGCATCGGAGAATCCTGCTTTTCCCTTTGTGTATATTGAGACCTACTGCTGCTGAGGCTGCTGCCACACTGTTCGTCTTCTCCTGCATTTGTTGTTGCGTTTGCGATAGAAGGGCCAGATCATCTGCGAAGTCTAGATCATCCAACTGCATCTTAGATGTCCATTGTATTGAATACTTGTGGTTAATTGTTATAATTCAGTAAGAAGAAAATTATTTGAATTACTATGGGGCATTATTTTTAATTAAAATGTTACTGACGTCCTAAAATTATTGATTCATCGTTTAAATGAAAATTTATGAATCAATTAGTTATTTTTTTAATAATGAATAATTTAAATTTATAATTTGACTTCTGTTTAGGTCAGTTTACTATTCTTTTAAGAATTAATAATGATTACTGTTATCTAAGATGACCTGCTTGAATATCTGAGCTACTTGTTCCTGCCATCCAAATATTTCAACAAGTTATCTGTTTCTTTGTTTGTTTTAACTGATCATTATGTCAATTAATTGTCCAACCTATTCAGATGCGTTTTTGAAAAATTTACAACCTTTCGCTATACAAGCTACATAAATTTGCAATCGGTAATATCATGATGGCTGGAAATATGCATTGAAAAAAAAGAATATTATTCAGATCTTGACTTTTGAAATGTTAATATCTAACTGGTGATCACTCAATGTTTATCATCAATATCGATCATGAACTTAAAAATGGAAACTCGTTGAAATACTTTATGCTGAGGATTCTATCTTGTACCGCTAATAGAATATTGAATAAAGCCAATAATAAATTTGAAAAAAGTAGGTACCATATAAATGTATTATGAAAATTTCATTGTTTGAGAAGTATTAATTAATTAATTAGTTAGTTTTTTAATAATTTCCCTTAGTGAGCCTTACAGAATTAAAGTATGTTCAAAAAAGAATTTACCTAGATATTCATTCATTCATAAATTGTCTTACTTTCATGATAAAAATTAACGCCAATCTATACAATATTCTTAAAAACATTTAATTGATCAATTTTAGTAAATTTGGTTTATGGCTAGTAGTGGAGTGTAGGAGGTGAGTTCTATTCTGTTCGGTATTTATCAGTTGATGTTAACCTTGAAATTTAAATCCAGTATCCATCACTCAGGGTGAATATGTGATTAATGAAAACTGATCATTTACAGACTTTGATATCAAAAACAAGAAAGTGTAAAGCCTTACAAACCTAATAAACCAGTTAAAAAATAGCTATGGCAATAAGATTAGTAACAGTTCTATTTGAAAGACATAATTGATTTTAATTAATTGATTCATAACTTGAACAGATGTCTTTTAATAATTTTGACTGAGAAATGTTCTATATCTTCCTTGATTAGAATTCCAAGAAAATTTGGACAATTATACATTAAAGTCATTGACATTTTCTAGAATTATTTTACTATTAATGAGATTTAAAGCTCTTGTATCCGATTTAATCTATTTTATGTAAATGTATATTCTTAAGGAGCTGTTTAATACTTTTTATTTTTTTAAAGCAAGAAGTCAGTTCATAAACAACATTATCAAATCTCCATAATGTACCACTTTATATTGATAGTTTTAGTAATGAAAATCAACATTTATTTAAGAAAAGTTAATACAAAACATCGTTTTCTTCAAATTAGGAATTGAAAACAATAATGTCAAACATCTAAATATTTAACAAAATCAGATGGATTAATTAACTGATTCAATGGTAAACGGAAATAGGAACAAATGGATATGATTGTATTTACCTTTTTTTTTAAACAAGAAAACAATATGCATATTTTTGTACGAAAACTATTTTTAATAAATAAACAACAATTTGAATCAATTATTGATTAACTATTCACTTTTGCATACATAATAGAACAATATGTAGTGAACGATCTTTTTGTGACGCTAAAAGTTCTTGAGAATGTTAGTCTACATACAACGGCTAAATGAGGATTATACACCAGTGTGAGGAGTCAGGATTAATTTTTTGCAGTTGGTAGTTAGGATTAATAATTAGATTTAAAGTTTTCATCATGGACTGACATCAGCTATAATGCCAAAACTCTATTTATCCGAATGAATGAACTAATTTCTCACCGAAATTCAAGACCTGTTATCGTACATCTGATTGATTCGTCCATAAATTATAGTCTCACCCAATATTTCAAATGAGCATAAAATCAAAGTATTTTATTTTCGTTTATCTTTAGATATACGTGTAGGTGATTGGTTAATGACTGGTGTAAGAAAATCATCGAATCCTAAGTGTTGATAAACTATAATTGATTAGGTTCGCGATAAATTCTTGAAGTTTCAGTAAGAAGTTCTCATCTATAAAGTTTAACCATTTCGTGGGCGAGATAGTCATTATCAATAGGACTAGATTATACTATGATTTATCATAAATTAATTGAATATTAAAGTGTTAATCACTTAATTCTAACTCAGTTGTTCATACATAACAAGAATTGAAGATCAGGGATTAGATTACTGGTGAAGTCATTATTACGGAGTTCCATGCCAGGACAAAACAGTTATTGACTTTTTTCTGATTTTCTAATGGTACTTAAACTTAATGTCAATCTGTCATTAATGTCAATCACTCACAAATTAAGCTAATCTACAAAAACTATCAACCAAATTACACAATAATCGTTAAAATGATCAATATAAAAATAAAGGGAAACGTAAATATTTACTAACAAATTTACAGGGTAGAAACTAATGTCAGTGTTGAAGGTGAATGCACCATATTTATCAAAATATAAATACGACAAATTCTTTGAACGGTGACTAAATTATTGAAAAGATTTATAAACTATGTTCGATTTTGTGAGGTAAAGTTATAATAATAACATAATGTATTATCAAGCTTTATACGATTGTATCATTTAATCCTTCGTATAAAAAAATTTAATATTTTAATGAATGAAGAAAGGGGTACTTAGGAAAATATTAATTTATTTATAATGAATAATGAAGCGATAAATGGTTCACATGTTTGGTAAACAATTACCAAGTTACTGTTGTATGATTCAGCATATTCTATGTCATCATAACTTTTCTTAAAATAAGTTAATAAACAGCCTGGTTAATAGTCTAATCAAATTTGAGCTAAAAAAAACATATATTGCCAAACTGGTATGATGGAAAAATAAGTCCTTCAGAGATTTAAATAGCTTCGCATAAAAGTTAACTAATTCAACCAAAAGGAAAGTCCTTATAATTTTCTCCATTATCGTTAACCATTAATAGTCTATATGTATGATGAATGAATTTTAAAAATGATATCCAAGGTTATAACAGTATTTAGAACAAACTTTTAAAGTATTAGCTAGTAACTGAAATATTTCAACTGTCATATGGGATTGATAGTCATTTGACAGATATTTTTCCTTATGTTTAATGAGTAATTTCACAAGAAATGAATACAAATATATCGTACACTTTACAGTACTATCGTTTACCTTATACAACACAACTATTAATTCAGAAATTATTTTCTTTCAAAATAATCAAATTTATTAAGTAGAAAATAAAGAGTAAGTTAGTTTATATAATAATATGTTTTTGGTGGAGTTTTTTTCTCTGAGCTAGATGGTTTGGTCATGGAGCTTTCAGACAGAAGTCTATCTGAAGTTTGTGCTGATGATGTCGTTCAGAAGAATGACGAAAGCTCCACGACAAAACCATCTAGCTCAGAGAACAAAACTCCATCAGAATCATCCACCTGAGCTACAAATCTTCTCCACTATATAACATTATGATTATCACAGGAATAAGAAAACTGAATATGAAGTCACTAATTTTTCACTGACTGGATAGAACTGCAATATATATATACATTTTACTTTATTTTTAAGAGTACCTAGGAACAGATACATATGTTTTGTAAGTGTACTTACAAAATAGAGAATGGACAAATATACGTATGTGTCTATATCTGTTATAAATGTTTGTATATTTTTTTCTATGACCAAATGTTTATGATTGTATGCCTGTAAGTATATAAGTCTACACTCGACAGATATGAACACACACACACACACAAAGGAATATATATATATATAGTGAAATAAATTTCAGAATTTTCTCCACAACAGAAAAAACCCAACTTTTCAACATTGAGGATTTATTTATTGGTTGAAATTTACCTTTGAGTTATGGATCCTTTATGTTAACAAAGTTAATCTTCTTTGAAAAACAAAACACAACACTAATATCTGTTTATATATAACATTGTAAAAAACATTATTAATTTATTCTATTATTTCAAATTGAAGAGATTCGATAAAGTACTTTAAAGAAGGCATGAATAAAAGAAGCCCATACAGATTTTACTGTAACACAATTTACATTTTAGGATTTATAGTGAATAAACAAATTTTTAAAAAAAGTTGGAATTAATCTCTACTATTTTGGATAATTTAGATCAGTATGTTAGTAATATGTGTCAGGTAATATTTTGTATTTAATTAATTAATAAGAATAAAAAAGTAATTCATTCGATTAATTACTCAATAGTATGTTATTCTTCATGGTGCTGGTTCACTGTGATAACATCATTAATGAATGACAAGAAGAAGAGGATGAAGCACATGATAAACGTTTTTATTATCATACTTCATTGTTAATAATATGAATGATAAATCAGAATTAAATTTTATAGGTTTAAGGACAAATAAAAAGATTTCATTTAGAAGTTATCGTAATTTAAGTACTTGTTTACCGGATAATAACACTTCGATAAATATTGTTCAAGATGATGAGAAATTTCAATTGCCATATGTTCAAATGTCTAAATCATCTGAATCGATTGCGAGTATAAAACAAGAGAACAATTCATATATCATGTTAGAGACCGGAAAGAAATCGGATGAAACTACTGCTACCACTGTTACTACTACAAGTAATAATAATAATAATGCTAGCTCAGTTATCGGACTTCCCAGCATCAAACGGAATATATTAAGACGACAGCAATGCACAGTTGAACAATTAAAAATATCTGAGTAAGTTAACTAATTAATAGTTTAATAAAACGTTTGTTTCTTAACATTAGTAACTAAATTAAGTGTATTGACTTGGTTATAGATAGATTCGATTGTTCAGTTAAACGAAAGGAAAAACAAGGATACAACTTTACACTACATAAGTGAGTTTTAAAAACAATTTGCCGCTAAAAAATTACGAGGCAGTAAATCATATTGATTTATAATATGCATTCAGTTTTCTAATAAGAAATATTGAATTTACTGGAATGATTTTGTCAAGTTTATGTACTATTGTTATTCAAGGTGATTTCCATAAAAATAGTTATATAAGCTGGAAAAAAGGATTTAAAACCTAGACAATACTGTTTTATTACTATTTGATATGCACACAAAAGTATATTGTATTGATAGTAGAATTGAACTACGCAACTCATAGTAAGCATTATACTTTTAGGTTAATAAGCCTTAATCTTCCATTCATAAAGACATATATTTAATTATTAATAATATAAGTAATATATTACAACTACTCTTAATTTCTTTCTAATCTCTTATAAATCATATTGAACTGATAAGTATTTTATGAATATGAATGTAAATAGAAACAATTTGGAATCCTGAGAAAGTTAAGGGAATCAGTTCAAATTATTATGATCTTGTATAAGGAATAAAATGTGATCGGGGGTATATTCCGGTCATAAACATATAGAGAAATAAATAGAAGGTTGATTTTTATGACAGCGATTGATTCTAAATAGTACCATTGAAAGAATTTTATTGCAGATTTATTCTTTTCTGGCTTTTAATACAGAAGCAAATGTCTTCTTTTTGGACTCAACACAATACTTGATGATTTTATACATGCATAGGACAGTATATTTTACTGGATCGTCTGTCACCCGAGGATAATGCTTCAAAGCATCCCATTCAGTTTGAACTATTATAGCTCTCATCTCTGTTAGATAATTTATCTTAATCTCCGAACTATAAAGACTATCATTGTACATTTTTGCTTAATATTTAGAAAAATTATTTTATATCATTACTCTGTCCATTCATTATTAAACATTAATTAGACAGTTTCGTTTTATACATTTACTAAAACACATTATTACATTACAAACAATACAGAAGACTCAGATGGGGATTTTATATACACGAATGATATAAATTAAAGTTGACATATGCATAATGAAAGAGCTATTCTACATATAATCTAAATAATAATGGTAGATAATAAAATTAACAAACAAGTAAATGGCTAAACGGAAAAATAGTACATTATGTGACTTTGAATAGTAATGGATGTTAAAACTTTATTCCTAACTAGTGTGTATAAAGCTAATCATACTACCCATTAATAACAATTAGAAATTATTGCTTATAGCTAAAATATATTTGTCTATATCAACGTTTTACTTAATAAAGACTAGTATGGTGTATTATATTCTTTTATATTAAGTTTCAGGATGTTCAAGATGTAGTCTGGTCATTAATTCAAATAAACCTATATATCGTGAAACGTTTTTCCAATGTTAAGCGATTATGGACAATCAACGTCAAGCTTTGTACGTGAGCTCGATATTAATTAGGTCTGTTGGTTGAAAAGTAATATCTCATGTAACACTGGATGTTTTGAGTTCAAATCTTGCATGAAATATCGATTTCATCAGAACTATCATAAAATTGAATTCTAAAACTTTTTGTAGATTGAGCCCAACAACTTCACTAGTTATGTTTTTAAACTAAACAATATAGAATGAAATTACACTGAACTATTTGAGTGTAAAATATTTGAGTGAGGTGATATTTATACACTCTTAAATTGTGTAGAGTTTTCATATAGTTATCATGAAAAAAGTCTTTCTTTAAACTTACTCAAATCTTTCAAGATATAACTTCAGTTTGTACTATCAGAATAAGCTTCGAACAGTTGATAATGTTTGTTATTTTCAATGAATAGAAGAAAGGAGAAGCTGATATTACTGGTTGGTATAAAATGCTAAATGTCATTACGTGTGAGTGAAAATTATCATTATACAATCATTGTAAAAAAGAAATCAAAGTTGCAATCCCAGATAGGGTCATCAAAAATGTATATTGAGATGGATCATAAATGCTTATTTCACTTTCACTGATAAAATATACTGACGATTTGATGGAATAGCGAAGAGTTCACAATTGTTTTTCATATCAGTTGCTATTTTTCTAGCTAAACTGAGAAACGGTCCATTCATGAAGCTCGCTGAAAGATCAACTTTCTAATTTTAGTATCAGGATGGTAGCAATTCTACGTGTCCTACCAACAGATTCAAAAATATTATAAAGATTTACAAACACTTGTTTAGAAATATATTGTACTGACAACCCTTTATTTATGTTCTTTATTCTAAAAGTATGTATTTACTTCAAACATTGGTGATTCATTTGTAGGTATCGTTACCAAGGTTTAACTTGATAATTTCGAATGAATTGAGCATTGGGTAGATAATATATTTGTAAAATCCCAATGAGTAGAAAAATGAGGTTTTTTGACGTTTCGTGACTCAGTGTAGGCTATTTCTTCAGAGAATAAATAAGCCAACCAAAATCAATCCAAGTTTTAAACTTGGATGGTGATTCATTGATGATAACCACATGTAATCTGAAAATTTATTTGTAAGCGCTCTTTTGTTCACAGATGTTTATCTCATTATAATGAGAATTTTTATAAAAATTACATTGATATATTAATATTCAGTAGTAAATCTGATGAATTTATTACATTTGTCTGTAGGTGTGTGTACAGTGAATGAATCAAAAGACTGACTTGTGAGCATTGAATATATAAGTGGCTAGTATCAGTATGTAACTCACTGGAGACAATGATGGAAGTGTCGCTCAATTTTGTGGATTAGTTGAAGTTAAACATTAACTCCGTTGTATGCCGACCGGCTCAGTGGTCAAGTGGTTAAGTGCTCGCGTGTGAGACTGATAGGTCCTGGGTTCGAACCTCACGAGGCGGGATCGTGGATGAGCACTACTGGGGAGTCCCACAATAAGATGAAACGGCCCTCCAGTGCTTTCAGGTTTTCCATGGTGGTCTAGCTTTAATTGACTCATGGTATCAACCATTAAAATATAAGTGACTGATGATCAACTACAATTTGAAAGAATAAAAGTTGTGAATTTTTAAGTCAGTAAATGAATAATAGAAATGATCTAAAGTCCCAGTAAGTGATAACATAGGAGTATAAGATCCATTTATTAGTATGTGGGTGATCATAATCACGTAACTGCAAATTTATTATTCAGAATTATTGATTATATTAAACTAACTCTATTGAAATGTGTATGCTCATATATCATTTGTATTGGTAAAAATTTGTGTATGTATGTGTATTCGTTTGTGTGTGTGTGTGTGCAGAGAAACAGTTTAGAAAGTTGATTTATCTATCATGGCCTTAATTTCTTTTATATCTTCGTATTTTTCTTAATCCTTCATTTTATTTCTGTCCTTCTATATTTTTATAGTGTACGTGAAATTTTATCATTAAATCAAAATATTTTAGGTAGAACTCCCCAAATTCACTCACTGGATTAATATTATTATTACACGATCACCTTATATCAGTCGCTACTCTCATTCACAATGATATTCTTCCCCTATCTACATGAAATATAATACAACAATTTTTATATTCGTAGTCCCTTAAATATTCCATACTTCTTAGTCAATCTAAATATTTCCTCAGTACAGAATGACGTATTAGATATAAGCGAACAATTTATGTTTTTATTATGATTGCCAATTACTATGTACATTCATACTAATACATATAAAACCAACATTACATTGAATTTTTGACATTAACACGTTTGCGCAACACCTGAAAATAAGGTCGTCAGAAAGAAAAAAAGTTTCCTCTGGAATATTATCCTTCTTCAAATATGAATTAATTAATTCTTTCTGAACAAATCAGTTTTCTGAACGTTACTAATAACGAATAAACTTGGGTAGAATGAAAATCACTATAATAATTTCTGTCAATAGAACCTTCGATTTAATTTGAATCAGACCATGATAGATCCTACAAACAAACCTATTGTGGGACTCCTCAGTAGTGCTCATCCACGATCCCGCCTCGTGAGATTCCAACCCAGGACCTGTCAGTCTCGCACGCGAACGCTTAACCACTTGACCACTGAGCCAGCCGGCATCCAACGGAGTTAATGTTTAACTTCAACTAATCCACAAAATTGAGCGATACACCCACCATTATCTTCAGTGAGTTACTATCTTACAACAGACCGGTTGAACTCCACTGGTCATCGCTTCTCACTAGAACTCTAGGAAATACCTCTTGGAGACCATCACTAGTGAGCATATGTTGATGGTGGTCTTGTTTCAACTGATTAGTGATCTCAACCATTAAAAATTACTATAATATCCACAAAACCCCTTCTTATATAAATCATATATTTCTTAAGTATTTAGAAATAGGACAGTTTGGTTTAAGCACAATTTCAACATATTCATATCATTTTGAGTATTTTAATTTGTTGTTTGTTGTAAAATACATATGAATATAATTCAAATATATAACTAGTAACACGCCATCCAACCAATTTGTGTCATATGTATTTATTTAGTTAAACACATAAGTATTGGCACAAAAGGGTAACAAAATATATGTGTCACATAGTGTAGTTATCACTTAGTTTGTGTGCAAGGTTGGACGCTGCCCTGGTCGCCAAACCGAAACAGGTGGTTTTCTTAGTAGGCCATTCCCCGAAACCTTGAATTGAAGGTCTAATCCACAAGGCAGTGGGGCAACGTTGAGAGATATAAACCGAGGACGAAACGCTCGTCCTAGATTTCACTGAACGCCACAAATTTTAAACGTGTCTCAGTTGTATTCATCATTTTTGTTCACTCTGTATACTTGAAAAAAAGAAATTTCCTGCATGTCTCAGATTATTTTTGTTGCCAAGAAATAATCATCCAATGTGTCAATTAAAAATACACTCAAAAGGGT